TTTCTCTGCTAGTGATAATAGTTTAATATAAATSACCAAAATTAGTTTCATCTGCTTAATAAAAGTAAATGATTTTTAAAGTAAAATTTGAAGACAAAATCAGCTTTAACTTGTGTAACTGGACCTAAAGCTCACATTGGTGCACATCAGTCACTTCCAGTTTGCAGGGCATTGTTGTTGACTTTTTCTTTATCAGAATGTTTGAAAGTATTGTCAGCTCTTGGAGAATGTAAAGAATGCCTGAGTCATTTTCTCATCTTGTCTTATTGTTGAAACTGAGGCTGGAAAGTTTTGAGCTGCTCAAAACTCAGTGCACATGCACGTGTGGTGAAAGTGTTTTGTTGACTTTTTACACATATTCATTAATGCATTTTATTATGATTGTCTTCTTCTTTTTTATCAGTTTAGTATTGGACTTTTTAATTTAAAACTAGTTTTATCAATGTTAACTTTTAGTTGTTTGTCCCTTTTAAAAATGCTACAATTAGTATGAATCCAACACCTTTAAAACTGTTCATCGTCCCTTCATTACGTTACCTTCATCACCTGATTATAARCTCACACCAACCTTTTTAACACAGGATGTACTGAAGCACTGGTCGTCATGTGACATTTTCTCACTGTGTTGAGAAAACAGAACAACATGTTTGTTGTTGTTCAGCTGGAGTCGTCACAGCAAAGAAACTCACGTGAAACATTTGGTTTTTGTTCTGTGCTGGACTGATTTCTGACACAAACTGAGTTACTTCAGCCTAACAAAGGGAACAACAAAGAATGTTTAAAATTAGATCCATAAATGATCAGTATAAAAATCAAATTTTTCATACGTACAGCGGGTAAAATAAGTATTGAACACGTCAATATTTTTCTCAGTAAATATGTTACTAGAGGTGCTAATGACATGAAATTTTCACCAGATGTTGGTAACAACCCAAGTGATCCATACATACAAAGAATTCAAACCATAAATGTCCAGAAATGAAGTTATTTGTAATAATGTGGAATGGCACAGGGAAAAAGTATTGAACACATGAAGGGAGGTGTAAAAA